TACATCCACTACTGCCCCTGATACATCGTCTCTCCCATCCACAACCACTTCAGCAGCCCCGGCCTGCGACTACGCAGCCTTCACGGCCGACCATTCCATGCTGAAATCCCCTGCGTGTACCAACACCAAGCCCCCACTGACCGAAGCGGAGAAGACAGAAATCCTGAGCGTTCATAACACTCTCAGGGCGAAGGTCTGATAGCGTCCCTTGTTTTTTCTTTTTGTTCTCAAGAATCTTTTGGAGTCATGCAGGCCAGTAGTCTCAGCATACAGTTGGATTTATATATCGCCTTGAGAATTCACGCAATATCTTCTCGAACATAACGCAGCGTGCTGCTCTTATATCGTTGCCATTGGCGTCGACGTCTTTCGCCAACCAGGTGGCCAGAGGCGACGAGACCGCGGGCGATCCGGGACCTCAGCCCAAAGGCGCCAACATCCGGGAGCTGAAATGGAACGATGAGTTGGCAGACGTGGCACAGGTAAACCACTTCATTTTTTATATGGAATTTGTAAGTAGGAAAACTGTGAAAGTCACAGAAAATAGAGAAAAGTAGAAGACGAAGCAATAGACAGCAAAAAAGAGAATGTAATGGTGGCAGATAAGACAAAGTGTGAGCAGATGCCACACTCGTAGCAGGGAAAGCAGGAAACTTCGCGCAGAACTCCACAGTACCATCATAAGATCTCACCTCACAGGCCTGGATGGGTCAGTGCACCTTCGCCATGACTGCCCGGCCTGCAGAAGATCTGCTCGAGGACTATGCCGTCGGGCAGAATGTGTACAGATACTGGATTAACATAGAAAAATGACGAAAGAATCGTAAGTACACACTAGAAAAAAAAAAAAAAAACTCACAAGAAATCAAATAAAACGACGATGCACAAAACTAAAATATACCTGGTTTTCACTTCACCAACTTTGCACTCTCCTACAGAATTGGACACAGGCGATACAGGCTTGGTACGACGAGGTGGATGACATGCCCAACACTTCGTCGAGAGCTTCAGCAGCGTACCCCGTCGGCAAGGCCATCGTTATACACGCAGGTGGGCGACGTCCGGCCGTTAGAAATGGGGGAAGGAGAGGGAGAGAGAGAAGGAAGAGACAAGAAAAATAGAAGAGGGCGAAGAGAGAAGAAGAGAGGAGAAGCGGAGGAGAGAGAGAGACTAAGGGAGAAAAAGAGTGGTGAGGGAGGGGAGACGGATTGGAATAGGGAGAGAGAAGGGAATGGACGGAAAAGGGAGGGAGGGAAGGCGAGGGGGGGTGGTGGAAAAGGGGAGAGGAGGGAGAGGGGACGAGAGGGAGAGGAGGGAAGAGGGGGAGAGAAGAAGGAGAGAGGGAGAAAGGGGAGAGAGGGAGAGAGAGAGCAGAGAAAGAACGAGGAGAAGAGAAAGAGAGAGAGAGAGAGAGAGACAGAGGGAGAGAGAGAGCAGG